CGACATTCTCGTTCGATCAGAAACTGAGATGAGATTCTCAGGAGACATATAACAATTCCTCAGTTTAGAAGACGTACGGCCGCTCTTATTAAATTATCTGAGACTGGAGCTTGCGGAGGCGGCAGTTGCTGGGCTCCTTAATTCAATAAAACAACACAAGACCTTGGAGCGCAGGCCAGAAATAAATTAAATGTCGAGGTTCATTGCATTCATCCGACGAAAAAAGGAATTTTAGGTATAGTTCTGTGTCGTTTATGCTAGATTAAAAATCCAACGATAATTTGCACTATGGAAGTGTACAACTTTTGTGGACTTACGAAATACAATTTCAGACAATGTCAGTCCATTTCAACCTTGCCGGTAACGAGGCAAGTTTATTAATTCAGACTGACTTCTGCTAATACCTCTAGCTTTTATTGTCATCTTCATCCTGTATGAACCTTTTAGCGTCTAAAATAATTTCACGACATGTATATTAGCCTGTTTCTGACATATTTCGTGTTGATTATGCACCCTTTCATTTCTAACTGAACTCATTTGCAAATTAATTTACACAAATGTGAATAATTGCTTCGTCTAATTCGAGAGCAAAAACAAGCAAGCGACACAAGTTTCCAAGTGTACCCCTGACAGCCATCAAACACTCAACGCCGTGAAAAAAGTTCAATGCATTTTTCTGTCGAAAATACCGGCCGCGGCTCTGGTAAATAATAAGAGATGAGCTTGAGAGGAAGTGATGTGGTGATGATGATTCTTCACCGCATCGCTGGAGAGTTGCCCACCTTATTTAGAGTGTAGCGACCATGTATATACGTTTCATCAAGTTACCCCCGCAACTCATTTTCTAGGAACGTTGCTAGCCTAGTGAATTCTAGCAGAGTTACCCATCAACGCTAACTCAATATTATTATTCATGTCATTGTCTTAGACATCACAATTAGTTATCAACTGCAATTGGAATACTGTTAAATATGAATTAGCTATTTATTTATATTATTAGCACTGACCTAAGACATTGCAATATTAAGTAACTCCTGTAGTCATAATCATTTACAAATCCGTAATACAGCGCGTAACCTGGTCTCCAGACCTAGTTCCAGTAAATGAGGAGAATTACTTCTGTGCTTCATTCCCTAATCCGAACATAATTGTAAGACGCTAGCGCAGTCTGGTCTCTGACTTCACGCCTCAGCCGAACCACAGGGCGTTTGGTACAACCAAACGTTTGGCACGAGTCATAGACCTTAAGGGACTCAATACCGCGCCGCTAGCATTCCCACGTCTTACAAGAGCTTCAGAGCCTGTCCTCTTCACTTAAAAGAGCGAGCGGTATCTATATGGAAAAATTATTGGGTCATATTGTCCAAATCGTGAAACACTTTCTGATCGTAGTACTGATACGACCTTTTTCTGGGCCAAACGGGTTATGGATGACCCACACAAGGGTGAGAGTGCATCGCTTTTTAGACAAATGCTCATTTATTTCTCTGAGCAACGCAGGCAGCAGGTCCACGCGATGGCGATATGGACATTGAACCCAGGTGATAATCTGCAAGCGCTTCACGATAATGACTCAGAAAATAAAAGTTAAAAATTTACCGGAGCTCACGTCTCTGCACTTTTACGCATCATACAAAAATTATTTTAACTAAGCGCATATATATCAAAGACTGCACTCAGTTTCTGCAGTGAGAACCTCTACCGGTTTGTTGAAACAGACAATTATGTAACAATCGTTTCATGCATTCAACAATGTTAAACCTAAATTATTTACTTCTATTAACATCGTTAATAATAAATTCTGTCATCAATAGCGTAGTCATCACTATTGGCGAAAGTAACAGCAAATGAACATATTTGAAGGGATTTCCTGAACTTAATAATTCATTTATTCCTTGACCCGCGCCTGCTTTGCCTCGTTTCTAATTTGACACGCGCCTGTTGGCAATACAATCAAAGACTATGCAGGTTAATAAGATATTATATCGTTCTAATTTCTCATTAACCTGCATAGTATTTATTCTTATTAACTTGAGCAATCGTCAATGGGTCAAAATAATGTAACTGTTTACGGATACGTGCATGTGCCGCCTTAGTCATAGTTGACGTTTAACGTGATTATTTTAGTATCTCCGATACTCTGGCTCGGATATTTCTATTGATCAGTCATCGTAGACGAGTGTGCTTTCGTGTTACTAAAGAATAGTCATGTACAAATCAAGCTAATGTACCTGAAAAGGGAGAATAATTTAGCGCGTCTATGATGATAATGTCTTAATAGTCAAATAGCGAAGTTTCCAATGCACCAATGTCTGTTATCAGAGGATGCTACATGCATGAAGTAGTATCATAGGATACTACTTCCTTTTGTCCCATGCGTCCTAGTGCTCGATTAAAATCCATCCACCACTTCAGCTTCTCTTACTTGAGTGAGCCCTGGAGGCCTGGGAAGGCCTGGGTGAAGGAGCCCTGGAGGCCTGGGAAGGCCTGGGTGAAGGAGCCCTGGAGGCCTGGGAAGGCCTCCTTCTCACCGTGCAGTTCTGACATATTTATTCCCCGCTCATGATGAGCAGCAAAAACACAAGGATGAGCTGGAAAACGAAATAAATCCCATGAAAACCTCATCCAAGCTCTATCGTTGTTATACTTATTCACGTACTGTATACTCTGCCCCAGGACCAGTGGATGCCTAGCGAATTACAATGTCAGTTGTTTTTCTCTATCAAATAACGGCGTTCATGAATTATTAGTAGGCTAACATGAACATAAAATTGATTGCTCGCTGCTATTATTAATTGATTGAACAGAATAGCGAATTAATAACAGAACACAGGGCATTTTACTAATAAACATTACTACTGTTATTACTAATTAACAGAACCATCGAATTACTGGTGTCATGTAAAATGGACGAGTAAATTTTTAGTTTCGGATCAAATTTTTCGTTAGTTGTGCATAAAAAAAAATTTTTAGGGCTAACTTCATTAAGAACGTAGTCCGGATACGCTGATCACGCTCTAATGATTTGGTGAATTTTTGAAATCTTTCATTTGTAAGTCATGACTTAAGACCAATAACTAGTGATAAATATGAATGTTCAAGATGCGAGAGACAATCTGTTGAAATTTGAAGAAGGTGTTGATGAATATTTATCAACAACTCGTGTTGCCAATACCTAATTAAATTAAATATATCATATCATATCATATCATATTGTATCGTATCATATCATATCATATCATATCATATCATATCATATCATATCATATCATATCATATCAAATCATATGACATATCATAGTGATGTCGGCACTGATGTGGCCTGTCGCCGAATCTTGTATTTTTCGTGCCTTGCTCACAGGAGTTCTAAAAACAGGTCCTTTGACCGGATATTTGCAAAACTGATGATAATTTGAAATATTTACTAGACTTCCACCGAGTTTGTGTGGTGCTTAGCATCTCAAGTGTGAACAAATATTTTTCCATAACTTTATCTAGTTTGTTCTTTAATAAACGCCTTCATACTCTAAGCGCCAATTAAAGACATAATCAGGGAGGCTGCTCCACATATCGGTGATTCGAAGCGAGAAGAAATGTCGCGTGGGTGAGTTGCAACGCATTTTTTTGGTTTATAGTCGCGGCTCTTGTGTTAGTTCTTGTTTTAAAATCTATTAATCCTTCGGGGATCTTGATTAAGCACGAGTATACATGTGGTATACTTCAATGAGGTCACCACCAACACATCGATGATAGAGACCTGGAACCTTCGCTACAGCAATCAATTGCACGAGCAGCCGAGAATAATTCATCAAGGTTTATTCTAATTTTTATTTTTAATCCAAGGGTTTTTCCAAGTGTGGTGTGACTAGTTGAATTTCCTTCTGCAATTACTGAAAACATATTAATGAATCCCGGTGAATACATATTTTTGGTGGGTAACGTAACAAGTCATATCGATGGCGAAGCGCCGTTGGCAAGCCGATCTTCGAGATGGCAGACGACCTGTTAGTTCATTCCTGATCGGCAATCCACACATTGAACTTAATTTACTATTTAATTTAGGCTTTACTTGACTAATAAAACCGTTTCTAGGATCATATGTTTATGAATGTTTATTGTGTTTCAACGAACGCTTTTAATATTCTTATAACAATTTTCGTATGTCACCACCACCATCATTCCCATTCATCGGCACGTTTTTAAGTCCGTTTCTGAACGGTGATAAATTTGAACCTGAAGAGGTTTAATGACAAAAAAGTATTCCTGTGGACGTAGACCTTGATGATGAGAAATCCGGCTTGAGTCCTGCTAATCAATATCTACTTAAGAGAATCATTCGTTAAATATCCTTTAGAAGTTGATAAAACTTATAATTACTATACGGGATTTTTTCCATGTGTGTACAAATATTTGATGTCAATTCACCCATATATGGAGTTCAGCAAATCAATCCGGCTGCAATTAGAAAGAGTATCGGACTACTGTGCCCATTTCTCTCACATCTAACGCCCACATAATTGAGAAGATTGCCTCCTTTTCATTTCTTTCGCCATCCACTTGGTACGGACTAATCGCTCTAGTCCAACCTCCTACATTGCGAGTGCATGAGTGTCGAGTAATAAATTAATTAGTTACTCCTCGAAAAAAGACAATGAAGGCAGTTTTCATGAAATGTTCAGTATATATCATTATATTTACAGATCACCTCGATAAATTTGAATTAATGATGCGGTTAATCGAAATGAAGCTTAATTATTTTTGAACGCTGGCGTAGAGAATGCAATTGACTGCATCTCGCAGCAGCGTACTATGAAAATTAAGTAAACTGCAAAATAATTGGAAACATACATTATGCAGGAGAAAAGTGATATAACATGAATCTTCACTCTCATGCGAAAACTGTCCCTATTTACAAAAAAACGTATACAAGTTTCCGATTATTTATTTGCATGAAATCAAATTCTCCACTAACTAACTAAACGCTTGTCTCTTATACACATCTAGATGTGTATAAGAGACAGGGTGGGGGGAGGAGCGCAGATTTCTGCGCAGGCGACACAGGCGGGAGAGGAGCGTAGATTTCTGCGCAGGCGACGCAGGCGTGGGGAGGAGCGTAGATTTCTGCGCAGGCGACGCAGGCGGGAGAGGAGCGTAGATTTCCGCGCAGGCGACGCAGGCGGGGGCAGGAGCGTAGATTTACGCGCAGGCGACGCAGGCGGGGGCAGGAGCGTATATTTCTGCGCAGGCGAAGCAGGCGGGAGAGGAGCGCAGATTTCTGCGCAGGCGACACCGCCGCCTGTCTTGCGCACCACACAGCGGCGCACCAACAACACTCATACATACAGTAACATTTTAATACACACTTGTATGCAACGCTTACATACAGTAGTTGTATATAATATACCTGTACCATACATGAACAATTGTGAGCACGGGTTGTATAAAAGTATATTTCAAACTATTACAATGCGTCTCAGTGCTACTGGTGCAGATGTGATGTTTGTATACAAATTTATAGTTATTGTGGTGGGTTTGTACATAGATTAGCAGGGATTAATACATACATTCATTGAATATATCGCATGTTAAGTTTAATGTAGCAGCTGAGTCGTAAGATGTTTGATCTGCATACTTTTATGTTCAACTACTGTTTAAAAAACTACTTTTTTATGTTCAACAAATTTCTAATTACTTTTATATTTTTAATACAACGCATATAACAACAGTGACGTTATCATCATTGCTTAGAATCATTAATAATGAAGTCACTAATGTGTTGATCAATGCAGCATTTGTCTTGGCCCTCAACAAATAATTATAAAATTATATTATAAATAATTATATAACAATTACATAAGAAACAATATAAAAATTGATGCCAGAGAATTCGTTGAAATTCTAGTGCATACAATGAAACATTACCGCGCTACATCTATTGTACTAGTTTAAATACGCTCATAAGTCGAGTATGAGTAAGATTAATAAATGTTTTTCTTTCTTTTCCAATATTACATGTTACTTGTAAGCAACATCAGTATCTGGAGAAATATATAAACATTTTATTAGAACTTTCCCAATACTCACCTATCACGAGCATAATGAGACAAAAGGCTATCCCTAAGCCTATGAAAGCAGCTAGAGGCCTGTCGGAAATATTAGCTACTTTTTTAACTTCGATGTCATCAGAACTTTGATATGATAACTAACTGAAAACAAAATAATAATCCTTAATTCAACCTTAAACTGTGTTCCCATGATCGGCCATCATGGCCGATCAAACCAAGATGGCTGAACAAGCCAATGTGGCATGATGATAATCAAGACTTATGTGACATGGAAAATAAACAAGAATGACACAGATATTACCATTACTGTATTAATTTCAGCTCCAATTCCAGCAAAAATCATTGCAATCACTCAGTAGTCAACAGTGACTTCAAGTGAAAATAGTGTGAAAATTTTTTCCTAAAATAATTTCCCTAAGATGTGTCGTTTCTAAACTCTAATTGTATTTTATGATCATTTTCCTACAACAAGCCACAATAAGTGAGGCCGCGGTACAGCCACGATAACGACAAGCATCTGGTGATTAGGCCGCGGTACAGCCACGATAACGACAAGCATCTGATGATTAGGCCGCGGTACAGCCACAATAACGACAAGCATCTGGTGAGCAGGCCGCGGTACAGCCACGATGACGAAACACGTCAGAAGAGTCACGAGAAAGGCCCGACATTCCGTGCACGGCTGCCGTACTTCAACGATAACGGATCAATACGGCCGGAGTAAAATTCTTAAGCGCAGCAGCAGCAGTTTATCTAGGACTTTATGGGGAGTCCATTAGCATAAGTCCAATTTTAAGAGGTATTTTCCAGTAGACCTTATGAGCTCCGTACTGCATACGGCTTCAAAGGCGCTAAGTGAGCCATATATGGCCAAGCTAGTAAGAAGATGTATCTTGATATGCTGATATGGCAACATGCAAGATGTTACTACAGGATTGACGAGTTTTGACGATTAAAACGCTTAGTCAGTTGAAATGTAGATAATAAGCACATCATATCTACATTTCAAAACAAATTTCATTACACTGGCTGCTATACGTGTAGATTCAAACGGCCAGACGTGGTTATAAAGAACTAAATGATTTAAAAGCCTGGAGGTATGCAAATCTAAAATATACCGACTTTAATTAATCTTTGTTGTTGATTTAACGCAGAGGTCATAAAGTTATCCATATCGACTCTTGGGGGTCGTGGGCAGGTCAAAAGATGTCGATAAAATTATAAACCGGGCGGAAAGGTACACCAATAAAAAAATATAACTCAGTACTCACTGCAGTGAGTGACAGAGAGAGCATTTTCTCGTCGACGAAAACGTGAAGTCACGGACAGACAGACAGGCGGACGGACGGACAGACGAATGGACGGATGGACGGACATGACGAGCACAATAGGGTTTTTTTCCATAAATGAGAAAATGCTCTAAGAAACTATTAAAATACTCTCTGGGTATAGGTACACTTCTGTTTCTTATTTTTTTATTTATACCAGTGAAAAATTCATTGTTCCTATTAATATGTATCTTCAATCGATGCAATTTGTTGTTGTTGCGTACAATGTAAGAGCTTTTTAGAGAGCTCAAGTACTTAATTGTTTGCCTAACTCTATATAGGAGGCTTTCAGTGTGTCATCACATCATTATCCATTCAACTTGTATATTTATTCTCTTATAGACACAGTATCCGAGTGAAAATGAAAAGACCAACAGAACGCCGTCTGAAACGGTAGCTCCAAAACGTTTTTTTTTTCTTTGCAGAATAACTTGAATTACTTGCATGTCTCCCAATTTTGACCAGAAGCATAGATTTTATTTTATTTTTTTCATGAATTTTAATAGGTCATTATTTTTACCAAAATTTTTATTATAGTTAAATGCAAGGTATCTTTTCCTGTGACTTTCATCCATCCATATATATGTAGATGCACAGATAAAAATAAATGGGTTATATTGTGCATAAAATGATGCACTATATAGTAGCCACAGCACGAGCAGAGAGCTGACGCGGCGCTCATACGCTCGTTTGCCACGTCAAATTGAATTCAAATGACCCATTCAAGGAGAAAAATTCATCACTAATTGGCCAAAATCTCACTCATTTCTGTGAGTGAAGTGTTCCATTATTGCCCACGCAGACCTGTCCAATTATTCAACGTGAGACTCAAAAATGTTGGTTAAGCCCCCAGACCTGAAGAAAATAGCCATTTCTGTTCCCCCATAAAATAATTTATTGCAGTTATGGCTTGAGTCCGTCTTGCTGATGTCTGTTGTGCGGGCAATGAACGGCCACATTCGCCTCTGCGAGCATAAAGTTATTTTTTCCGAAAATTATTTGAGGAAAAGTTTTTGAATTCGACGCTGTTCACGTTTATGTAGTGAATTGCAATGAAATTAGTTCTGATTCAGGGATTCTTCTGATTGAAAAGTTTATTCCATTCAATTTATTAAACAATTTAAGGGATTCGACTGATTAATCCATTCAAATGTTTCTATTAACTGAACAAGTTGAATGATTACAATTTTTTACAATTTATGGGATAAGACCGGTTAAATAATTTAAATTAATTGATATGTTCAACTATTTAAAGGATCCCATTGTGTATTCCATAACTCAATCAAAATTAAAGAATAAGTCTGTGAGACAGCCATATTGAGGGAACAGAAGAAAGAACTTCTCTTTAATTGAGCTGCATCTAAACTGCGGACCCAGCCATTGATTTTGAGACGAGCCCTTGCATCGTACGTGAGCTCGGACCATCTCCGGATATACATATTATGCAAGATCCATCGTAATGTTTACAGTACAAATTGAGATTCTTTTAGGCTATAGCACCTTTCTTTGTATTCGTTTGAATGGACAAATAAAAAGCCCGTCATGCATTTAAGTTGTGACTATCATAAGAAAAAAATATTGAATATATTTTTTTAATCACGTCATGAAAGATCTGTCTGTAATCACAGGCCCATGTAATCACAGGCGTCATCGAAGCTGTAATTTATTTAACTTATATAGGGTGAAAAGATGGTATATATTTTCCTCTTTAATGAACTTTATTTTCTGTATATAAAATGCCAAACTATCATATCTATTCTCCAATTAAAGTGAAAAGACAGCTCTTCAGAAAATTGGCAAGAAATCGAAATTCGGCAACAATATAAGGTAGACACCATATATAAGTTAAATCACAGCAAATGTTTGTATTTTAACCATTGTTAATTAACTTACTCCTCATGGTCAAGTAGAAGCAGGAAGTAGTACTGAAAAGTGGTAAATACTTCCAGGAAAAAACTGAAATTAAAGAAGATGAAATTCCATCCCAGTTCAGACATTCATAAGTAACACTCATTCATATTAGCGACTAATTTGTCCACTTCGATAAATGCGCAGGCTGAGCCCATACAAAACATAAAAAACTAATTTACTTTACGTCGTAGAAACTTCCTCGGTACTAATCTACTGCACAAAGTTCTCACATATCTCCAGAGTTCTGCCGTAGCCTGCACCATTATGCATCGCTTGCGACATTCTCGTTCGATCAGAAACTGAGATGAGATTCTCAGGAGACATATATACAATCTCATGCAATTGCACCACTTAATTTACTAATTTTAAGCTCAAACGTGCATCACTTCACACTTTTGGTATATATTTGAACGAATCTTTGGAATGAGGTTTTGGGCACACAAACGAAGAATCCCCGGAGTTACGGACTCACAAAATACTGTAATCCGATATAAACTTATATTATACCTCTCCACGACCCCTCATCCCTCTCCACGACGACTCATCCCTCCCCACGACCCCTCATCCCTCCCCACGACCACTCATCCCTCCCCACGAAATATTTATTCCCCGCTCATGATGAGCAGCAAAAACACAAGGATGAGCTGGAAAACGAAATAAATCCCATGGAAACATCATACAAACTCTATCGTTATTATACTTATTCACGTACTGCATACTCTGCCTCAGGACCAGTGAATGCCTAGCGAATTACAATGTCAGTTGTTTTTCTCTATCAAATAACGGTGTTCATGAATTATTAGTAGGCTAACATAACAATAAAATTGATTGCTCGCTGCTATTATTAATTGTACAGAATAGCGAATTAATAACAGAACACAGGGCATTTTACTTATAAACATTACTACTGTTATTGCTAATTAACAGAACCATCGCATTACTGGGTTCATGTAAAATGGACGAGTAAATTTTTAGTTTCGGATCAAATTTTTCGTTAGTTGTGCATAAAAAAAATTTTTATGGCTAACTTCATTAAGAACGTAGTCCGGATACGCTGATCACGCTCTAATGATTTGGTGAATTTTTGAAATCTTTCATTGGTAAGTCATGACTTAAGACCAATAACTAGTGATAAATATGAATGTTCAAGATGCGAGAGACAATCTGTTGAAATTTGAATAAGGTGTTGATGAATATTTATCAACAACTCGTGTTGCCAATACCTAATTAAATTAAATATATCATATCATATCATATCACATCATAGTGATGTCGGCGCAGCGGCGCTGATGTGGCCTGTCGCCGAATCTTGTATTTTTCGTACCTTGCTCACAGGAGTTCTAAAAACAGGTCATTTGACCGGATCTTTGCAAAACTGCCGATAATTTGATATATTTACTAGACTTCCACCGAGTTTGTGTGGGGCTTAGCATTTCAAGTCTGAACAAATATTTTTCCATAGCTTTATCTAGTCTGTTCTTGAACGCGTTCATACTCGGAGCGCCAACGACGTCATTAGGGAAGGGAGGCTGTTCCACATGTCGGTGATTCGAAGCGAGAAGAAATGTCGCGTGGATAAGTTGCAACGCATTTTTTTTATAGTCGTAGCTATTGCGTTAGTTCTTGTTTCAAAATCTGGTAATCCTTCGGGGATCCTATATAAACCATGACTGTACATGTATACTTCAACGAGGTCACCACCAAAACTTCAATGATAGAGACCTGGAACCTTCGCTACAGCAATTCAATTCTTCTCTTTAATTCCAAGATTTTTCCAACTATGGTGTGACTAGCTGAACTTCCGTCTGCAATTAATGAAAATATATTAATAAATCCCGGTGAGTACATATTTTTGGTGGGTAACGTAACTAGTCATATCGATGGCGAAGCGCCGTTGGCAAGCCAATCTTCGAGATGGCAGACGACCTGTTAGTTCATTCCTAATCGGCAATCCACACATTGAACTTAATTTACTATTTAATTTAGGCTTTACTTTACTAATAAAACCGTTTCTAGGATCATATGTTTATGAATGTTTATTGTGTTTTAACGAACGCTTTTAATATTCTTATAACAATTTTCGTATGTCACCACCACCATCATTCCCATTCATCGGCACGTTTTTAAGTCCGTTTCTGAACGGTGATAAATTTGAACCTGAAGAGGTTTAATGAAGAAAAAGTATTCCTGTGTACGTAGACCTTGATGATGTGAAATCCGGCTTGAGTCATGCTAATCAATATCTACTTAAGAGAATCATTCGTTAAATATCCTTTAGAAGTTGATAAAAATTATAATTACTATACGGGATTTTTTCCATGTGTGTACAAATATTTGATGTCAATTCACCCATATATGGAGTTCAGCAAATCAATCCGGCTGCGATTAGAAAGAGTATCAGACTACTGTGCCCATTTCTCTCACATCTAACGCCCACACAATTGAGAAGATTGCCTCCTTTTAATTTCTTTCACTATCCACTTGGTACGAACTAATCGCTCTAGTCCAACCTCTTATATTGCAAGTGCAAGAGTGTCGAGTAATAAATTAATTAGTTACTCCTCGAAAAAAGACAATGAAGGCAGTTTTCATGAAGTGTTCAGTATATATCATTATATTTACAGATCACCTCGATAGATTTGAATAAATGATGCGGTTAATCGAAATGAAGCTTAATTATTTTTGAACGCTGGCGTAGAGAATGCAATTGACTACATCTCGCAGCAGCGTACTATGAAAATTAAGTAAACTGCAAAATAATTGGAAACATACATTATGCAGGAGAAAAGTGATATAACATGAATCTTCACTCTCATGCGAAAACTGTCCCTATTTACAAAAAAACGTATACAAGTTTCCGATTATTTATTTGCATGAAATCAAATTCTCCACTAACTAACTAAACGCTGTCCTTTTGGAACAGAAGTAAATGTCATAAAATGACCTAACAATTTAAAAATACATAGTACCAGAGAATTTTCCTCAATATGATGTAGTATTCAAATGATTTTATGAAAAATAAAATTTTGGATTTGTTTTTTTAGCGTATTTCTACCTCGAAATTGCACCAGCAAATGCAGTGGAGCAGTGCAGGATCCACTGCACCAGCCTCCTCCACTGCACCAGCCTCCTCCACTGCACCAGCCTCCTCCACTGCACCAACCTCCTCCACTGCACCAACCTCCTCCANCTGCGCAGGCGACGCAGGCGGGGGCAGGAGCGCAGATTTCTGCGCAGGCGACGCAGGCGGGGGCAGGAGCGCAGATTTCTGCGCTGGTGAGGCAGGCGGAGGCAGGAGCGCAGATTTCTGCGCAGGTGGGGGCAGGAGCGCAGATTTCTGCGCAGGCGACGCAGGCGGGGGCAGGAGCGCAGATTTCAGCGCAGGCGACGCAGGCGGGGGCAGGAGCGCAAATTTCTGCGCAGGCGAGGTAGGCGGGGGGAGGAACGCAGATTTCTGCGCAGGCGGGGCATGAGCGCAGATTTCTGCGCAGGCGACGCAGGCGGCGGGAGGAGCGCAGATTTCTGCGCAGGCGACGCAGGCGGGTTGCAGGAGCGCAGATTTCTGCGCAGGTGACGCAGGCAGGTTGCAGGAGCGCAGATTTCTGCGCAGGCGACGCAGGCGGAGGAGCAGCTGATGCCTCCCGCGCAGCAGGCGACGCTGCCGCCTGTCGTGCGCACCACACAGCGGCGCACCAACAACACTCATACATACAGTAACATTTTAATACACACTTGTATGCAACACTTGCATACAATAGTTATATTTAATATACCTGTACCATACTTGAACAATTGTGTGCACTGGTTGTATAAAAGTATATTTTAAACTATTACTATGCGTCTCGGTGCTACTGGTGCAGAAGTGATGCTTGTATACAACTTTTATAGTTATTACATAGATTAGCAGGGATTAATACATACATTCATTGAACATATCGCATGTCAAGTTTAATGTAGCAGCTGAGTTACCACACAATTACCTCAGTGATGGCAAACTGTTTTATGTTCAACAAACTTCCAATTACTTTTATCTTTGAATACAACGAATATAACAACAGTGGCGTTATTATCATTGCTTATAATCATTATTGAAGTCACTAATGTGTTGATCAATGCAGCATTTGTCTTGGCCCTCAACAAATAATTATATAATTGTATTATAAATAATTATATAACAATTACATAAGAAACAATATAAATATTGATGCCCAAGAATTCGTTGAAATTCTAGTGCATGCAATGAAACATTACCGGGCTACATCTATTGTACTAGTATAAATACGCTCATAAGTCGAGTATGAGTAAGGTTAATAAATGTTTTTCTTGCTTATCCAATATTTCTTTTCCAATATTACATGTTGCTTGTAAGCAGCATCAGTATCTGGAGAAATATATAAACATTCTATTAGAACTTCCCCAATACTCACCTATCACGAGCACAATGAGATAAAAGGCTATCCCTAGCATATGGAAGCAGCTAGAGGCCAGTCGGAAACATTAGCTACTTATTTAACTTCAATGTCAACAGAACTTTGATATGATAACAAACTGAAAACAAAATAATACTCCTTAATTCAACCTTTAACTCTTGTTAGCGTCTGTTCGAAATTTGTTTGATTTCTGTTTGTATGACAACCATTGGTCACTGGATGACGAAGCATGCATTTTTCTAATTTTTTATAATTAAAACTCTAATTTTTGGAAATAGATAATGTTGATTGTCTTCATTAGAATTATCGAAACGTTCTTGAATGACAAATCAATCATAATTCAAATCTTACAGAAGGTAATAAAAATAAAATTGAAATTCAATGCCAGATCCGCATTTGTCATCATCCGCACTTGACAAATCAAGACAATGTCATACGGGTGTTATCCTTGTCAAGTCATCTTTCTCCTACGCCCGTTTGGAATATTGGGCAGAAGTTTCCTAAAGTTGCGGGTAAATCGATCGCTTCACGAGTGATTCTTGAAAATTGTGGGTAAGAATAGACCGTGTTTTTTTTCACTGAAGAAATTGTGAAAAGGCCTTGGGAACCGGCGAAATTGGAAAGATTCACGGGGGGCTTGCACTCCGTATCATCGCTACGTTAACCGTGCACTCCGTATCATCGCTTCGTTAACCATGCACTCCGTATCATCGCTACGTTAACCGTGCACTCCGTATCATCGCTGCGTTAACCGTGCACTCCGTATCATCGCTACGTTAACCGTGCACTCCGTATCATCGCTACGTTAACCGGGCACTCCGTATCATCGCTACGTTAACCGTGCACTCCGTATCATCGCTACGTAAACCGTGCACTCCGTATCATCGCTACGTTAACCGTGCAAAGAAATAAGAAATTCATTTTGTGTGCATGAAACTTGAGCCTGATGAAGTTAACTACTCATACGGAATATTTTAAGGATACAAAAAAACTTAACACGCTGACTACGATTGCTTCATCTTGTACTATTATTTCATTTTTTGTACTGTCTTTAAATAGGGTTGCCAGACGGTCATTTTTTCCGGACAAATTCCGTGATTTAGTTTTTCTCAATTGCGTTGGCGGCTAAAATTTATGATAGGAGTACTTCCTAACTAAATTTTAATTACTGCAAAAAGAAAATAAATGAAATGTTTATAGCAGAATCTACAAATAAACTAGTATATATTGAGTCATTGGCCTTTTTTGTTCTCGGATTTGGCCGATTTTAGGCAACCCGAATTATGTACCACTACGTCCTGGAGAAATACATTTCGTGGTAACGTGTCCAACTTCGGAGTCAGCGTGTTAATATATATTTTAGATTATATATTTCCATCTAATTATTGCCAGGCTCCAGATTGAATCTGATGGCTTCATTCATTTGCCCGGATATAAAAGCCATAAGAAGACTCTCCATTTATGTCACTGAAAATGAACACATATGAAGGAATTTGCTGAACTTGATAATTACCAGCACCTGCTACAGGTGCTGGTTCAGGTTACCAGCACCAGCACCTGCTTTGCCACGCATCAAATTTGACACAATCACCTGTAGGCAATACAATCAGAACGATATTTATTCTTATTGAACTGCATAGTCGTTAGTCTTATTAGTTGGAGCAATCGTCAATGGGCAAAAATAACATAAATACCTATGACCGAGATTGTACTCATGGTATTAAACTCATTATATTAAGCTTTACCTAAGGATCGGGTTACGTGACTAAGGTAGTGAGGGATAAGTAAGACACATAAGTCCAAATAACGTATCTTGTATACGGGGTGGTAATACAGAGTTACAATACAAAGGAATAAGCTACGGCGTCGACCGTATAAGGTCGGAGAACTCTACCGACACGCTACATCGCGGAGTGCTTATAACAGCTACTGGGGGCTTTACTTAAGATTGCTAGACCTTTTATAAGCTTCGCTTCCGCCCACTACTGAGGTCTTGATCAAGTGATCTATCACGTGTCTATCAGATGTTGACTCGTCCTCAATCTCTATCAGGTCAAGTGAATTGACCCCGGACTCCTCCCCTCTTCCGGAAAGATCATCCCGATCGTATGGACACAAAATAAAAAAACATCTTGTTCGAATCCTCCGGTCAGGTCGTACCTCATACCTTAAGTATACAAGAATGAAGGTTATAACAGTAATATAACTAAACAGTTTCTTCAATTAACAGTATGAAAAACCGGAAAAGAAAAGAACAAGTCCATCTCCAACGCAATTTTGGAAGAAATCACATTGGGAATTCAGCTCGTGGTATTTAAAACACCTCGTGTATTTATTGCTACGTTCTTCGGTTCATTGGGTTCATGTCCTTGTGACACATAAGCTGATTTATGCTGACTCAGCGTTTAAGGCAAGCTCTCGGTGACACCGTGGACTCATAGCATATAGGTTTGCTATGTAAAAAGAGTCATGATTTATTAAATTCAGGCGCCATCAATGTAGTTGGAGGTTAGTTATGATTTTAGATTCCTCTCTACGACCTATATTGATCATTCATTCCCTCTCTCTTTAAAAAAATTGTTCCTACAATATCCATTGCAAAAATTAAACACTAAATACCTCCGGTTACGGGAATGCTGTTAAAAAAAACCTGAATGCATCATAAATCATGAATTAAAATTATAACACGAAATAATGAAGATTATAGCGTTCACAGAGTAATGAAAGAGATATAAATAATCGAATCTTAACCTTCAGAGAAACATTTTAAATTGACAATGAATAATTGGTTTGATTGGCCAAGATGACCGTTCAAACCAAGATGGCCGAACAAGACAAAATGGCCGAACAAACAAATGTGGCATGATGATAATCAAGACTTATGTGACATAGAAAATCATCAAGAATGACCCCGATATTACTATTACTGTATTAATTTCAGCTGCAAATCAAGCAAAAATCATTGCAATCACTCAGTAGTCAACAGTGACTTCAAGTGAAAATAGTGTGAAAAAATTTTCCTAAACAATTTCCCTAAGACGATCCGTTTCTAAACTCTAATTGTATTAATGATCATTTTCCTACGACAAGCCACATTAGCATCTGGTGATTAGGCCGCGGTACAGCCACGATAACGACAAGCATCTGGTGAGTAGGCCGCGGTACAGCCACGATAACGACAAGCATCTGGTGATTAGGCCGCGGTACAGCCACGATAACGACAAGCATCTGGTGAGTAGGCCGCGGTACAGCCACGATAACGACAAGCATCTGGTGAGTAGGCCGCGGTACAGCCACGATAACGACAAGCATCTGGTGAGGAGACCGTGGTACAGCCACGATAACGACACACGTCTGAAGAGTCATGAGAAAGGCCCGACATTCCGTGCACGGCTGCCGTACTTCAACGATAACGGATCAATACGGCCTGAGTAAAATTCTTAAGCGCAGCAGCAGCAGTTTATCCAGGACTTTATGGGGAGTCCATTAGCATAAGTCCAATTTTAAGAGGTATTTTCCAGTAGGCCTTATGAGCTCCGTACTGCATACGGCTTCAAAGGCGCTAAGTGAGCCATATGGCCAAGCTATTAAGAACATGTATCTTGATATACAAATACGGCATCATGCAAGATGTTACTGCAGAATTAATGAGTTTTGATGATCAAACCGCTTGATTTCGTTGAAATGTAGATAATAAACACATCAAATCTACATTTCAAAACAAATAAATTTCATCACGCTGGCTGATAGACGTGTAGATCAAAACAGGTGTGAGTAAAAAGAACGAATTGATTTAAGGATAAAGGCTGGAGGTATGAAAATCTTCTAAAATATACAGAATACAATTTATCGTTGTTCTTGATTTTACGCATAATATGGCGGTCGGAAAGGCAGGCCAATTATGAAAAACTATCAAAATTCTCTCTAGGTATAGGTACAGTTCTGTTCCTTTATTTTTTATTTATAGCAGTGAAAAATTAACTGTTTCTATTAATATATATCGTCCATCGATGCATTTTATTGAACTGTAGTCTTGAACGGTATCTCCAAAATGTTCTATTCATGTCAGAATAACTTGAATTACTTGCTTGTCTTCCATTTTATTTTTCCATGAATTTCAATAGGTCATTATTTTTACAAAAATTTTTATTATAGTTAAATCCACAGTATCTTTTCCTGTGAATTTCATACACCCATATATGTAGATGCACATATAAAAATAAATGGGTTATATTGTGCATAAAATGATGCACTATACAGAGTGTCCCAAAAAAAC